CAAATGATTTTAATTCCAAATTAGAACGTTTACCGTTGAACAAGCTCACCATATTGTTTTTAATCGATTCAAACATGAAATTTCTCTCTTAGAAACTTGAAATACCTTTTCATGACAATAAGGCTGGATATTAAATCAGTGGTTGCTTTGATGCAAATGAGAGATAATACGCAATTATATAGTCGAAATATTTAAATTCGAAAACTCTCCTCAACACTATTATTTCCAACTTTTGTATATAACCATATATTCTCTTTTTATCCAGCTTATCCATTCAATATCAACATCATATACACTAGTTTTAGAATATCATTTCCTTTCACTTCTCAATATTCATCAGCTCTCTCCCATATCTTCATATTTTTAGTCGCTTATTCTTAGATAGCTCACTATCTCGTCGTGACCATTTCTTTTGGTTCAGATAAGAGACATCCATCCGTACAAATGCCTTTATTAGAATAGTGTTATCGCTTTGCAACGGATTAGACTGATTCAATGCGTACTACTAACGAGTAGACATGCACTGTTTATTTAGCGATATATTTTACTCTTGTCACATAGTCCAATATGTTAAAGGTTCTTGAGGATCGAACTTTGTAGAGCAAAGATTTTCTACAGAATGGGACAAGGCAGAAGGTTTTTGTCGCAATCTCAAAGAGCCATAAACCACTATGAACCGATACTGATCATAGAGCGTTTGGTGCACATTTTTTATCTAATTCCTGACTGAAGACGAAAAGCACAAGCATATGTTATTTGTAGAGAACTGTTTGCTATACAAAATCCAGTAGTTAATAGAAAACTTTGTCGAATAGTGTTTTGAAAAGTTTTTTATGAAGAACACACGGAATGAGAATCGGTCAATATCGCTACATGGCCACTAACAAGTTTAAGGAACAGAAAGAGTTCATAGTTATAAAATAGAAGAATATTCAAAAAGGTAGATTTTACATTTTTAACTCGTATAAATTCCTTAAAAAAAAATAAGGTGTGCTTATTTGTCAAACTCTGAAAACATTTGATTTCTTAATGACTGATTATTTCATTTTTTTTCAATTCATTTGTATTTAAACCAAAATATCTCTTTGGCATTTAAAAGAAAGATCGAAGTATTGTATATGACTTAATGGAAGGTTATGTGAAGTATTTTTTCTATCATACAATGTGTGTATTATTTTAATTTTTTTCATGTCATTTCTATCTAATCTATCTTTGAAGTATGCATAAGTTTTTTTCGCACGTATTTATATTTCCCTGACGACGATTTTCAATTGGTTCGTTTGTATTTTTCATGCAGTTAAGTAAACCATCATTAATTGTTTTTCTGCGTAATCTAATGTCATCATTACAGCTAACCATGTTCGTGGATCTGTACAGTACAGAGAGCTATCTTATCTCAAAAACTAGAAGTGATCCTTTTCTGGAAAACACATCAGTATATATCGATTTCCCATTTTGAATGCCAAAATATAAACGAAAAAATCTCCCATTTTGCAAACCAATCTAAAATATAGATTGTTTCATTATATAAGTAATCAGATGTTGTTAACCCTTTCGGGACGGTTTTTTTTTTTGAAAAAATTAAGCCTATTATTAGAGTTAAAATAGATGTTTATTCAATGAAAAATCATTATTAAGCTCTTATATGTATATATATATGTATACAGGAGAATAGGAAAAAATCAATCTAGATGTATTAGAATGTATTAGAAAAATCCAAATAAAGAATGTATGATAAAGTGAGGGAATACTTCACTATGTAATGTTATAAACTACTTAATACACTGTGGATGTTTACGACACTTTAGAAATACTGATAATTTACTGTACCAACATAGGAAAAGTACTCAACAGACTATGTTCACTTACTTTTGATTGATTTAAAACATATATCATCCTCAAATTTTGAGAAATACTCCAGGTGGTATATATACCACGCCCGTCCCGAAAGGGTTAATAAAAGAAAGAAGATGATACGACTGTCTATTACAAACCAAATTCAAAGTGTACCGATGTGTTCTTAAAATGCGAATGTTGTAAATTTTACAGAAGAAGGCTAATGATTAAATTCAAAGTTTCGGATTCAAACGTCTAAATTATAGAAGTGAGACGGAGGAACGGTTTGCAGGAACAAGTATCTGAAAATACGATGGGTGAAAAGAGATAAGACGATTATTTTTTGTGCAGATTCTAGTGTATATTTCCGGTTCGGCAGAAAGTTGCTGGTGGAAAAGCGTCAAGAATTTTGCGAGAAAGTCCAAAAGGGAGGGATCAACGATCCCCTGCCTCCCCTGATCGGGAACCCTGCGCTTTAATTGAAATAAGCAGCAACTCTGAGATAAATCTATAGTATGTCTCATAATACACTAGCTTACAAATTTATGTTGCTAAGTCATACTACGAACAAATACATATCATTTGGATTATATGGATAACAACTGACATGGCAAAAAGTATTTGTGTGAGAAACTTTTTATATCAGACTTATTTAATGTTTAATGAATGTATCTCTCATTTTCTTTCTCAAAGAAGAAGACAAAATCAAAGTTCCTTCAAAGTAAATCATAATTAATGGGTAATTTCTCTAGAATATGACTTATATACCGTATGCACTCTTAATATCAAAATTTCAAAGACATTATATTTCAAATCTTAATGACAGTAACATTTACTTATCTGCTCTCCAATGAAAAGGTCTTTTTTCCGTTGCACAATATGTAAACGAAACAAAACACATAATGTAAAAACTACAAGTGCCGTTTCGTAGTACGCGTTTTATTAAACTTCGTATAGCTAAGACATGTAAATTTTATTGAGAATCTACTGATTAAATCGAACAAAAAGTATGTTTCTTCGGAATCATATTGAATTTAAACTTTAAAATCATTCTTCTTACTATTCCTCACCCGTGTAAAAAATCATTTAAACCTTCTTCTCTAATATTTTTCCTTTTTGATTTGTATTATCGTCATCACCATTCTCTCTAAAAAAGTTTCTCATACGAATTCAATTCATATTACTACTCAGAAAAAGTAAAAACACAATCTAGTGATTCAAAATATGGTCAAACCAGTTGTAAAAGGAACGGGGAGGAGAACAACGTAAGTATTTCACTTCCAGTAAAACTCATAGGCATTCTAGAGTTTTGGAGTGACTACTTCATCTTGGTAGAAAATTACATGTATCAATGATTTCACCGTATCGCACAATTTATCGTTTAATTTTAATCACTAACATCGGAAAGAAATTTATTTGTACAGTCACATTTTACTAAATCAAAGTTTTGGTAAAATAAGTCGTGTTTTTTTCTAAAAGCATTTTTAATAATCTGCACTGAGACATTTATCTAATGCTCAATATGTCGATATGAAAAAAGAATAGAACTCGAGTTCCATACCTCCGCAATTTACGGCCCTTCCATCCTTGATGATTAACGGAAAAAGAACGTAGACAACAACCAGTTCACTCGGAACACGTCGTGACGATCAACCTGCATCCTGTTCATCCAAAAACAGAAGTCGTTCAACACTCTGGTATTTAGGTCATCAAAATAATAATGCCCGACGAAGTAAATCAACAAATGCTACTCCACCAAATTCAGACAATAAAAGGAACAATCGTCGGTCAGATCGAACAGACATGATCAATAGAAAAAAACAATCAGGCATTGGAATACGAAAAAAAACGCAGCAATAAAAAAATGGCACGAGTGCAAAAAAACAACATCGTTCAAGAATACAAGAGAAAGTCAATGTAACAATTACGTCGATTATACAACTAGATGAGTTTAAAGTGTTTGGCTATCGTGAAAACACTTTTCATCAAAGTGAATAAGAATCAGTTGAAATTTTTTCAAAATAAAAATAACATGATTATATAGCTGACATTGAGTGACTAACATTCGATTCGATAAAAACAGAAAATTAAACAACTTTCAATTGTGTTAAACATATATTGTTTACAGAAAATGAAATGAAATTTTGCATATTACTTGTACAGAATAAGAGCCACTATAGTGTTCATATAAGCTCATCATTGAACTATATCTACAACATCGTTTAGAATAGGTTTTATCTATAAGCGTGAGATTGGAAATAATTTTTGAAAGATTTCCAGTTGGAAGAATGTATTGATTATATAGGCTTGTTTCCATGAGAAAGTAAAGAAAATAATTTTATAATTTAATCACCTAACTCTTAGTTTTTTTATATGTTATGAAGATAGTGATATATATCGAGAGCTATAATAGTAAGAGTGTGAGTGATAGAAACAGAAACGAAACTACTGAATGAATGATAGACCCAACCATAAGGCATCATTGTCCTTATCAATTTTTTTTTCCATCTCCTTTGTTCCCATGTGTTTAGTCGCCGGAAGACAAGGAAAGAAGAGAAGACAAAAGAGAAAAAAAACCAAACGATTATGGTGAGATAGCTTGAGTATGAAACAGAATGGAAAAACATAGAAATATATCTGGATACTGTGCTAAAATTCTTGTTTTGTATATATATATTTCTCAGAAAACGCGCGCATACACACTCAAACACGAAAAAGATCTTTTTTTCACTTTTTCTTCCATCTTTTTCATCTTTATGCACGGATTAATGGCTAGTGCCATTAGTTCTATCTTAATTGAACAACGATAGTATTTTATTTGCAGGCTGATATGTAAGTGATATCTATCTTGAATAAAACAAGACAAACAGTACGGAAACACTTTTTTGCTATGATCTTCTCCTTTCTAGAAGTGCTATTTAAAACTTCTGTTAGTATCAGAATTCGAAAGTGAGAGAGTCTGTGTTCATAATCTTGCCAGTTGTTTGGATCTCTAAACACATTCAGTGTAAAAATAACAACTCTTTATCTCATTCAGACAACGCAATTTTGTTTTTGTTTTTATTCTATTTTGATGATTATTATCAACAATACATTTAGAAAAACCAAATTTCATTGAGAAATTATGATTTATCGAAATTTTGCATGTTTCTATATTATAGATAATGCAACAATCAACTATTTATGATGTGTTTCATGATAATGCAAGTTTTCCTTTATTCGCAATAATCGGATATTTTCCTCCACCTCCTCTTATCACTGGGCCACCACCGAGACGTTTATGGTGTAAAAAACAATGTTTGAGCGATATTCGAGATCCATCAAAAATCAATGAGTCAGAGATAAATATACTTTCGATAACACAAACAAAAGAAGATAAATTACTAACAACAAGTGCCTCTCTATTTGATATAAAATCAACTTCAAAGTATGTTTTATCGTCAAATACATTAAAATTATCAATAACTGATTTACTCTTAAATCGTCCAATTTTAACTTTATCAGTTCTTCTTCTGATTGCACTTGTATTACTAAATATAGCCATTTGTACCTATTTTCTAATTCATCGATCTAGAAGAAGACAAAATACAAGTGCTGATGAAATAAATAATAATTGTTCAAGAAACACTAATGATGTATTATTGAACAATGTTAGTATAAACCAGCCTCGAACGTTATTTGTGCCTGTTTGCTCAACAGATGATCATTCACATTTGAAAAAAATGCGCAATCAGCATTATAGCGATGCTACGGATGCGGACGTATATAGAAGTTCGTTATCAAATGAGCAACGAGAAGAAATTTTATGATTCATCTTATGCACATGTTAGTTTAATTATTAATACCCGAAATGTTTTTTACTATTTTCCTTGACTTTTTTATATTTTTTCATTTTTTATATATATATTTTTATATAATTCTTGTACAAAATATCACTTCTAGATGAATAGTCAAATAATTAATTTGTATTTTTCAGTAGATACATGCCGTTATTTGAGATCAAGTATTCTCAAAAAGTAAGAGAAACAAAAACAAGTTAAATAACTGATATGACAGTTACTATGTTACATTGTATGAAATCTGATGCGACTTAATATCTCTCACTTATATTCGTTTGGAGTATGAAATGTCTCTTTGTTTACTGTATTCACTGAAAAGCATTTTAAGTGTTAATTTACACTTGTGTTCCTAGGAGTACAAACAGAACCAGATGGTTCTGTTTGTAGTTCCAAATGCATTTTGCTTCGAACCAAGTTTTGGCTTAAAAACGGATTTAAATGCATTTGAAACTATAAACTAATTTATACGTGGCCCTACCTTACCCTTTGAAAATTTGAGAATTTTTCATTTACAATTATTTCTTTATTTTTTTAAATAAATGAATCATATTGATAAAAAGTCTTTTTTAAAATTTCGTAGCAACATAATGTCATTGACCGTTTCTTCGTCCAACTTTTGTTGTTGTTTTTTTTATATTGCCAATTGCACCAAAAATGGGTGTCTTGCATCCGATAAAATAAAGAGTTTAAAATAACTGTCGCTAGCGACCGACCTCAATGTTGTACCGAAATTATATCTTTTTTAGACGAAGCCCTGGCCGAAGGGCGCCATTGTACATCTCTAGTCTCAAGGTCCATATGGCAGGACAGAGCATAAGTCTTCTTCTAAAACAATTTTGTTGCCACCGATCAATAAAGCACAACATTTATACATGTGTTTCTGCTAAAATTGCATAAACTACCTAGACAAAATGTTTTTGATAAAACTGATAAGATTCTTACCGGAATTTTATTAGTTTCTTATATATGATTGTTTAAGATTTCCTATCGACAGTCGTAAGTGTCTTATCACATTTTCATCAGAGGTTCGTAAGAAATTCATAAGAAGTACCAAAAATGCTTATGTTATCCTTATTTACTAGAAGGCAGCTTATGAGTTGGATTTGCTGATTTCTGTTGTGATTAAGTTGCTTCTACTGGCTAGAAAGCTTCATAAGAATTTTTGGTACTTCTTATGAATTTCTTACGATCCTCTTATGAAAATCTTATAAGATTCTTATAAGACACTTACGACTGTCGATGGAAAATCTTAAACAATTATATATAAGAAACTGATAAGATTCCAATAAGAATCTTGTAAGACACTGATGAGAGACTTAGACGTTTCTGGTAAGATTCTTATATAAGAATCGATGTCTAGGCAGTGGCGGCGCGCACGTTTGTAAGAAGAGAGCGTACGCCCCTCCTGCTGACAGAAATTTTGGCAGAAACTTGAGCCAAAAGTACATAAAATTTACTCCAATTTTGTGAAAAAATGAAGGTTACTCCGATTTCGGTTAAATTTTACGGGTTTGCGCACATATTTGTCGTTTTCTCGAGTTTCCGGCTATCTTTGCTCCAGAAATGTCACAGAATCGGAGAAAGCTCGAACAAGGTAGAACACGTCCTCCCAAGAGGTGGACAAGTACAAGTCCGGACTAGAATCATTAGTTGTTCGAGTGGGGTATTGATACTGATCCGAAATTTCAAAAAGCAACTGGTAGTATAATTTAGTATTTTGGTTCGTATTTTTTTCGTTTTTGAACACACTATCACCCTATGAAGGAACAACAAAAAACACAGTTTCCTACGTGTGTCTACAACTGTGATAGTAACCGATTATACAACAGTACGTCAGAAATGGAAAAATGACGAGTTTTGTTCTCGATAGCATTGCGACAGGACCGCGACTGAGTTCGCGGGAAGAGCGCCACTGAGTTCGCGACAAGATCTCGATAGGATTGTGACAGGATAGCGAGAACAGCACGAGTGAGTTCGCGACAACAGTGCGCATGAGTTCGCGACAAGATCTCGATAGCATTGCCACTGGATCGCCACAAGTGCTCGACCCTGTTCGCGACAAGAGCGCGACTGAGTTCGGGGGAAGAGTGCGACTGAGTTCGCAACAATAGCGCGATTGAGTTCGCGACGAGTTCTCGATAGCTTTGCGACAGGATCGCGACTGAGTTCCCGACAAGAGCGGGAGTGAGCTGGCGACAAGAGTGCGATTGAGTTCGCGACGAGAGCTCGATAGCATTGCGACAGGATTGCGACAAGAGCGCCATTGAGTTCGCGACACGAAGTCGATAGGATTGCGACAGGATCGCGAGTGAGTTCGCGAGAAGAGTGCGATTGAGTTCGCGACGGAAGCTCGATAGCATTGCGAGCGCCACTGAGTTCGCGACAAGATCTCGGTAGGATTGCGACAGGATTGCGAGAACAGCACGAGGGAGTTCGCGACCAGATCTCGATAGGATTGCGACAAGAGCGACTGAGTTCGCGACAAGAGCGCGATAGGGTTACCACAGGATCGCCACAAGTGCTCGACCCTGTTCGCGACAAGAGCGCGATTGAGTTCGTGACGAGACCTCGATGGCATTGCGACAGGATCGCGACTTTTTTTACGTTTTAAGAAAAAAAAGGCGTTAATTTTCACATAAAACCAGTTTTTCCTCTATTTCTCGAAAAGTAGACGTTGCACCTAAAAACAGACACCGAATTTGGAATCTACGTAAGAAACTGAATCAGAATACATATACCGGTTTCTTCCAAGCCGGACGCAAGTATAATAGACTTGATAATGCTTAGTATAATAACAAATCAATAAATCTGTGATGGGTATATTTCCTTACTGTACTTTTCTACGGAAAAGAGGTTCGTGCTGATATCCAAAGCTCGATTTCGATTTTCCAATTTCCTGGTGTTGTTGATTCAATGTTTTGGCATCCCTCGCCGGATCAAGCGCTGAGTATTTTCCAAATTCGGCCATATGTGAAGCTGTGCAATGGGAACATTTATGCTTGCATTGTCCTGACAGCAATTTGTTTTCGTTTATAGTTACGAAACTTGTTTTCTGTATCAATATTTGAAGAAAATAGCTATAGAAGATATAGGTGTATATTCTCGTTCTCATTCTCTCCGTTCAACATGAAAATGGTGAAACGAACAGAAAGAAAGAGAACGAGAGAGAGAAAAGGAGAAGGAGAAAAATACCTAATTTCAACGTAAAAAGGGTTTTTCGCTTCTTTTTCAA